AGTTGATAAATATTATCATAAACGTGTATATTAATTTCTTTTCTTTTATGAAATGTCACTACAAGCTTCATTGTAAATGAGTAGCAAACTAAGTATCTATATGACGTAATTTACCATCATAATATAAACTCAGTGTATGGGAAAGAATCTAGTAAGGGACGGATGGCATGTTCTATAGAGTTCACACGCCACTCAGATGGATCAGGTTAGACGGATGGCATGTTCTATAGAGTTCACACGCCACTCAGATGGATCAGGTTAGACGGATGGCATGTTCTATAGAGTTCACACGCCACTCAGATGGATCAGGTTAGACAGATGGCATGTTTCATAGAGTTCACACGCCACTCAGATGGATCAGGTTAGTAAGTTAGTAATTATCTATAAATACTGGATGACATTTTAACCAGTGGATCGGAAAACAAGGGTTACAATACTCATTCAGTCATTCATCTTTCAACCACATGACCACCCTAGCTTATGAAATAAATCAAGCGGCCATCACAGAATGTAGTGATTTCATTATGATGTCAATTACCACCTTATATGTCAGTAAGCATGGGCCAAAACACCCTTTAAGCTGGGCTTTCGAGCCCCAAACTATTATGATCCACCTTACAATTTGCTCATATGCTAGGCAAAATGTTTACAAGCATCAATCATCTTAACTGTGTGATAATCAAATGGATATCAAACAATACATAAATTGTATTGTGAACATCACTTGATAGAAAGGATCGCCACTTTCTTTGAGTCAGTGATCCTACACTAAGTAACTGTCTTAGTTAGTGATAATTAATACTAATCCCACCCATATTGATAAGGAGGCCACTGTTGGTGACTCTGTTCATGGTCAGAGTTGTCTTTCACTTCTAAATCAAAGATTTCCTCATCTGATTTGTCACTGACAGCCAGAAAACTACTTTCAGCTCTTTTCTCGTTGGTGGGTGAGTCGATATGAGTTGAGATGACATTCTCATCTTCCTCTGATTCATTAATTTCAACCTCAGAATCCTGGTCAAACAAGTACACAAATGGTTCATCTATAATGTATGGACACAGCCTATTATGGTATCTCAAGGATTACCAGAACAGTAGAAAAGTTATACCTACTAATAATTGAAGGTTTTCAGATCTCGGGTTTGGGTATATATTTCTCAACGTGTTGAAACAAGCGAGTCACAAACGAAGAGACAAAACAACAATGCACTACAATACGTATACAGTTCACAGTAGGACAAGTGATCTTGTGTTTTATGTGTTAGTAAAGGATGTGGGATTAGCAAGAACAATGAATACCTTAACAGACCCTAGTGTGGGTTCTTCCCCTTGTAACATAAGCTAGAATATGAACAAGAAACAATAACTCAGACTGTCTTCAAGTTAAAACATAAACTATAAAGTCAACTCTTATTTTAACTTCTGTGAACTCCAAGTTTTATCTGGATTTCAGTAGAACAATTACAAGTCATACTTAAAATATAAACCTATGCTCTACTGACGTGTAAACCAACTTACACAAGGTTTGCTAATGGCAAACATAAACAACTTAATTAAACTACACAGAAAGCCAAATAACACCCACACAAATATAAATGAAAGTTAACTCTAGTGTTGTGAGAGAACTTGGGTAGTTATTGGAGAGTAAACAACAGAAAAATACATTAACCTGTTATCAGGATTCGAAAGTGAGAACCTTAGGAATTTTTGTGAAGAAGTTAAAGTTGTCAAAACACTGCAAAATGTTGTTTAGATCTTTTATCAACATATCTGATAAAATCTATGTAAACTCCGCGTGAAGAGCTTTTAAAATATTAATCTAAAAAATCTGTGTGATTCTGCAAAGTTTTTTATAATCATCGAGAAAACATTCTGCCCTCCTAGGCCCCAACACTGTCTTAAATATGTCACTAAACCCTCAAATTCCGGTCAAAAGTAAACTGATTGGTGCCAACGTGTAGTGAAGATCAAGGGCGAGTCCATTAACAACTATTATCTGATGTGCCAAAAGAATAACTTAGCTCACCATTTAAAAACCACATTATTATTCCTGCAAGAGAATCAGACAAACAAGTTTTTTTAAATTTCCTTTTAACCTAGTTTGCTCCTTAAGGAAAGTGAATGTTAGCAAGTCACTTGAGTACCAATTTGTTCCATCAGGGGAACTATGTAAAACTACATAATTTTAAAAATTATACTTTTTAACTAAAGGGGTGAAAATCATTTAGTACATCCCGGTACTACAATATTTATTTCCAAACTGACCCAACTCTCCCTAACTATAAAACAAAAGTCAGATCAAATTTAACTCATAAGCACTCAATAGATCATAATAAATCACTCTTCCTCCATAAATCACCTGACAACCTTTAGGAGAGGGTGGTCTAACAAACAGTGCTTTCAAGTTAAACTGACATGTGAAAAACACCTTTTAATAAAGAGAACATTTAAACAAAAGTACGTTTTAATTAGCTTTATTTATTGTTTCATTTGATATTTATATATTTATGACTTCACATTTTATCTCTTCAACAGCATAATGCATTTTTCACTTATACCATCTGCAGTCTTGAATGAATGCTATGACGTCTTAAAAAAAATTAGCCTTACATCTTTGCTAAGAGATGGCGCAACCATACATTGCCAAGGGAGCTCAGCTTGATCTTTTAAGACAAAGTCGAAACTAGAAATAATGCTAGTCATATTAGTAAATATTGGAGTCTTCTTAAATGTATCATAAATTGCACTCAGGCTAAATACGCGAATGTGAATCTGATGAGAACTATATAATTTACGAATGCGTGCAAAATCTTGATTCTACGCTGTGTTTCCATCATTCACAGACAGTCAAGATAGAGAAAACACCGTAATAGTGTGAGTAGTTATCGGGCCTGTTCAGACACTGTGCACTGATTGGCTGCCTCAGGGAAGGGGAGGGGGTAGATATGATGACGTCATAGTTCCACGAAGTGGAACCAGACGGTGCGTCACTAGAGACACGTTGTTAGGCCGCCATGACACTTGACTGCAGAAGTTGTCTACTGCCAGAGAGAGCGTTGCTAGGAGATTTCAAGTGACATCATAGTTCCAGTGTTACTGAACAGAGAACGTGTTGCTAGGAGTCATAGTTCCACGATGCAGCACCAGAGGGCGCGTTGGTATGATGAGCGCGCAAATAGTTCGCGAGTGAACCACCAGAGGGTGATATAGATCAAAATAACATCAGCTTTATAGTAACAATCAGTCTTAAAATGAATGATTTAGGCTAACTTACATAACATTTTTTTTTTACAATAATCAAAATTACAGTTTCTCTTTATAAGTAAACGATTAACTCTGCTATTTTAATCTCTAGTTCTTATCAGCATTATAGTTTTTGCTTAGATATTTAATTGCGTATGTTTTACTGAAGTGGATAGTGTTACTGAGGGATGTGTTTGTATAGTCAGATGGTCTATAGGCAGATGATACTACTAAGTTAACATAGTTTGTAGGATCATCGATTTATCAATGGTATTTTACCTTATTTGTCTCACTTACTTTTTACAAATATTGAAAGAGACGGATTTTTCGTGATAACATCTCTAAATATCATGCAAGTAATTTAACATACAATCTTACTGTTTCCCTAAGTTGACTTTATGGATTAAATATAAATATATATAAATATATCTACCGATATAGCTGATATTTAATGTGTAAATGTTTTTGACAAAATATTTCATTTTACACATGTTGACAGTTACTTCATAGTTTCACTTATGTATGTTTTAACAGTGCTTATATGGGCAGATGTTGTTATAATTACAAGGTCTTACTAAGATTCTATAGACAGATTGTCTTATTGTGTGTATTTTGCGTGTTTCACAAAGGCGGATGGTGTTTCTATAAGTGGACAGTGCCATTATACTTCCGTAGGATTGCATACAGATTTCAACTTTTCTCAAGTTAAGTTCATATTTTCTTTTATATATTTAACTGTATTACATGTGTTTCTGTAGGAGGATAGTGTTAGTAACACATTTAACGTACTGCTTAAAGGTTTTTTTTATCACATTTAATATATCATTTTAATAAATATTGAACAAGACAATTAGCATAGCTAATCAGCGGGCAGTGTCTGAACAGCCCGATAATTACTAGAGTGCGTGATTATGTGTACATATATTGTAACATGCGCACTATAAGTGAAATTATAGGAACTAAGATAACAGTATACCTGTGAGGATATCCAAGTAATGAATCAACGTATTCTAACCATTATCAGTAAGAGCAGTGTATTAAATTATTTGTATTCATTACTCGGATAATTTTTATTTCCTTTCTATGTACGCAGCTTGCTACAACTATAAGTTATTGATACCTTCAGAACTGAAGTACAAAACATTTTCTTTTTTTCCTCACTGGCGTTTAAAGAGAAGAACTCTTTTATAATATATATATAAATGTTGAAGCCAGTTCACATCCTCAAAGCAGAACCATAAAGAAGAAAAATAAAACATGTATATAGAAAACGTGTAGTATTAAGAATACGAAACTTGCACTGGTTATACAAGATTGTAACCAAACAGCAACTTCCGTTACCACATGCATAAAAAAAAAAAGTTCGACGAGACATAAATGTGAAAGTCATAAAATTTTGAAAAGTTCCAAAGATGTAGGAAAAGTGTTCTTAGCAAATTATCAATTACCTTTTTAACCTAGGAAATGGACCTAAGAATAATTCCCTAAGTAATTACCATACTAAAGAGTGTTGTCAGTGATATAAATAGATGTATTTTTATCGTCTTTATATCAGTCCATAGCCCCATATAGTGTTAAAAGTACTACACGTATGTTGTATATCATCATCTATTAATTGTCAGTTCTGTTTAATGTTGTTACTACGATTTTGCTTTATTCTTTCATCTTTTTGTCAGTTATCAGTTCTACTCAGTGTTACTGATGCTACACTAATTCTTTATGTATAGATCCTTATTTTTTTACAGTTTTGACCTTTACCTCTACTGGCATTATAATCCACATTTCCGTGTCAGTACTAAGCCTCCCATTAAAGCACGAGCATTGCGTTTTTGCTATCTCATCTTATTCTCATCAGCACCTCCACCTACTGTTCAAACTTTGCTGTACTTTCTTCATTCTCAACTTGCTTTCTAAAGGTAAATAAAATAACAGTTTAAAAAATAAAATATATGTAAAAATATTATTAGTTTTGCGGCTAACATAATCAGTTCTTTTAATTGATATATTTCATACCTTGGTGTTGGTCAGTGGTTAAAGAGATGGTGGACTGTGGTGGCAGCCCTCAGCTAAAAATATTGCTAAGGGGAGCCACTTCCCTTCTTATACAGAACAAGAGGTTGGGAGAAGCTGAAACAGTATTATAAAATAATTAAAAGTTTGTGGAGGAACTACAATGAAGAGCATAGGATTGATTATACCTGAAAAGCGGTTTTCATCGGACAAGATTGAAACTGTGTCTTACGATCCACAATTTAATGGATTTGGAAACGATGGGTGTGGCATCCTTTTATCTTGTCACGCAGAGTCGTCCAAGTTAGAATGTGTCTGGTTGTCTTCAAACTCATGGTGACTTTTATCTTCTATAATATACACCTATATTTAATATGGTGCTTTACTAGATAGTTGTTTTCTTATAGTTTGCTAAAAGGAATGACCTAGTACACTGCACCATCACCCCTCTCCCTAGCTCCTGGTGTTGGTGTTGAATATCAGTTCCAGCTCGCTGCTTCTAGAGTCAAGCATATTAAATATATTATGCAGACAACAAAGTTTGTGAGAAATGAAACTAATTGATATCAATATATACATTTTTTAAACATCAATAACTTATATTACTATATTTAAACTTCCTGGTTTCCTGTCACAACGTTCATGAAAACGTAGTTAGAGCACTGATCTTACAATACTTTGTAGTATTAAAGAATTTTTACAGAAATCATGTGCTGAGAGTGTCCTCTAGCGGCAAATATTCTATGCAACTAGACTGTAAGGTTTTCTATGAGGATTTTTTACAGACGAAGAGTAACTATTTAGTATTGGAAATGACGTAAAGTCTATCTGCAACTTGGGCAGTAGAAAACGGTATTTAATATTTATCATTGAAACTCATGGGACAGAACCCACTACAGTTCATGTATTATGCAGAGTGGTCCATAAGTTAGTTGCTCTAGAGCAATATAATATTTTCAAACCTCCAATCGTTTCAGATCAAGGTATCTTGGTTCTTCAAATAAGTGTTAGGGGCAATCTGATTGGATGTTTTGAACATGCCACGTGCTCCAATCGATTAAGATATAAAGTTTTTATAACTAAAATTGGAATTGCGGTCGGAAAGAGACTAAAATTGTCTTGTGTTTGTTCATAAAAAACTAACTAAGCTTGAAATCTCAAACTGTTAAGAAATAACCTTGACGCTTCCCAAGAAGTGTAATTCTCCCTTCTTCCATAAGGGGGCTATAGAAATATTTTAGTCCATTTTTTTTTCCTGAACGAAGTCTGTTTGTGTACATTTGTATTTATAGATTGATATCTTTAATATTAGAAAATATTCGTGTTTTTCGTACAAGTACGTTTACGAGTTATTCTCTTAGACATTCGTTTGTTCATAGTTACTAAATTACAACAAATTACTTTTTCATAAAATCTAAAAATTAGGGTAATTGTATACCCAATGAGTTAAGATCTCAAGTTTTTTTGCACACGTGCATTGACACATACATTCACAAAAACAGGTTAATTTTAATTCTAATGCAAATGGCAGTTTTAAACTGGGGAGAATGTCAGCTGAAGCACCTACGTTGTCAAAATATTTTACTTTTAGTTTAATTTCTCGAAGGAACTTACTAATACAAGTTAACTCTGATAGTTGGTATGTGTGTATGGGGGGTCAACAACTCAGATATTTCACCTGTTAGGATACATTCTACTATTCCCATTGTAATTTCAACTGATTTTTCTTTGTCTGTCCTGTACATGTGGCGTTTCGGTGTAATTGTTTGAAATATCTGACTACAAAATATCACAGGTATTCTGTGAAAGTTTTAGACAATCGATAAAAACGAACAACACGTTTTGTGTAGATTTATAAAAAGTCAGGTTATACTGAAAATTCGGATGATTAGGGCTAAAACTGCAAGTGACAGTATTGAACGTCACTCAGTAACTGATTGAACAGATTAGGGAACAGAGTGTAATCATCAGGGTCACATAGAATACAGACTGACAGCATGATGCACTATTTCAATGTTGAATCTTTTGTTTACTTGTTGTTAAGGACAAAACTACAATATGGGCTATCTATGCCCTGCTCCACGTGGGCATCGAAACCCGGTTTTTAGCGTTATAAGCCCCAGATTTACTGCTCAGCTACTGGGGTGGGGGTTGAAATGAGATTTATCTTGGTTATCCCAATCATACAGAAGATATTTATACTAAGCCAGCATTGATATAATATTACGGTTTGAAGGAAACATTGATGTATTTTGTGCCAACACAATTTTACAAAATATTTACGAAGTGAAAGTCACTGGAACTTGTATTACTGTTCAAGCCATTTATTGAACACAATTATTTCATGTTATATAACTTAAGAAGGTTCTATTACGTGTATAACTCGTAGAAATAGTTAATTTAACAGATATGTGGTACTTTTCGTCAATCAGTATTCATAACCTGCGTATAACAATTGCTGTACATACAAACTCTGGTTGTATCTGAAATTCAACCAGTGACGCTTAGATTGTGTGGACTTTGGCTGTGTATAGTCTTCGCGTGTATAGAGGAGATGAAAAACAACATTTGAAGTGCTTAAGCAGTATTCCAATAAAGTATTCTGGTCACCGTTATAAGTTTGATGGGTCACACACGATGATGAAGTTACGTGTGGTGACAACTCCAAAACCATACACACGAGTCCTGTTCCATTTACTTATCACTAAAACGAACTGTTCCAAAAGTTTTCATATATCAATCATTTGTAAAATAAAATTCACGCGAGTGATCTAATGTTTAGAACAGAGAAATGTTTTGATGATCAACACAATGGAAAGTGAAGTTCTCGCTCGTAAAAAAGAAAAAAGGACATATTTTTGTTTCTGATACAAATACAGAATAAATAAAATATTTTTGTAAAACTGAATCAAATCGTTTAATGCCAGTTATTTTCTCGTATGGTAAGATTATTTGAAGTGTTCAAGATGTGGATCTGCTTTTATTTTTAAATTTTCTTGCGACTATCGTATTCAATCCTACAATGGGTTTACTATGGATGTATATTTATTAGTAGTACTCGCTGGAGTACCTGCCCATTAAACGGGTGAAATAAAAACTCGTTTGTAACATAGGATAGGAAATTGTGCTTCTATTTTTTTCTTCTTAACATAATCATTAAAATTGCAATAAAAATACATAAAGGTACCAATACTGAATATAAAGACGTACTGTTTTCAAGAATTCTATCAATATGAAATTAGATTTGGATACAAACGACAGGATATCAATGATAATATAAATACAATATTGACAACCTTATGACGTTAATATCTAAAACTTGAGCAGTTTTAATACAAAATGAGGATTTATATTGCATAAGCTGATAAAGTATGTCTGCACAGTAGGCATTTCCGTGTTGTAAAGATTAAAATATTTTGTTTGGTTGACAGCTTATGTAATATCGTGTAATAATTATAAAATAACAATTCATATATATATATATATTTATTTAGCACATTAGAAGGCAAATATTATCATGTTATGTAAGTTAAAAACAACTAAAATATGCAAAACTGCAGCATGTACATGCAGACAATATGAAAAATAAAAACTACTTTCGACATATTCGTATGGAAAACTAAACGAACAGATTTACACTTTAAATAGTTTAATACTTTCACACGCAAACACACATACATATAAACAAAACCGTCCCATAGTTTGTTAACGGGAAAATAATAATTTTAGAATTTTACAAACCTTTTGGTGGCCTTTTTTGTTGTTCTGCAGAAAAACGTGAATAAAAGTTGATTTGTTGTTTTCTCCCTCTCCCTCACTTTTATACTTATAGTTTTATTTCTTTTTGAGATGAAAATAACAGTTTCTATCTGGACCCGAATAATGATAAGTTACGTGAACATTTGCAAAACCAATTTCCCAAGGTCAGTTTTTAGACTGTTCCGACGCTTAAGTCTTTATCCACTTATTTTTCTAATTTACTGCAGGATAATCTTATGTCCGAACTGAAAGTGTGGAAGATTATTTTTTCTGTTACTTCAACATGAACACTAAGTTCTGTTTTAGCCGCTGTACTTGAGATCAGCTGAACTACTGCGCCCCAACATTAGTTATATCGTGCGAGTTGAACAACTGTTATTATTGTTACTTCTGATAACTGATTCAACCTTCATTATCAACTTTGATTATGGTGTTTCAGTCTATACAACTCAGCCTGGACGTTGGTTGAGTTTACACTATGCTTCGTTTCCAACATGTAACAAATTCGCAATAAATCAGGCCGTATTTTTCTTACTGGAGGCTGGTCGATTGTGTTCAAAATTAAATATTCGCAACTATTACTATTCATTTTTTAGACGTAAAACAAAGTTGGGGATCAAAAGGGAACAATAAATATGCCATTTTCACCTTCTAAGCGTTTTACTCCTAAGGAAGATTATATCGCAAAGCAAAAACGGGACGAGGCAGTAGCGACGGCTATTACAAAGAAAACGCATGCGTATTGAAACCGCGCTTTGCACTATGGGATTGTATTACCGGCGCTTCTGAGTCCACGACAGTATTTGGAGTTTATACATATATAACAAAAATATGATATTTATGCATTTCAGAAAAACAACAACAACACTCTAAATCATTATAATATGAAGATTAAACAGAAAAAAAAATTCCTGTCAGATTGTATTTAAAAGTATAATTTTATTGAATCAGCCGATGCAGTAAGCATGTTTTTATGATGTTAAAAGCACCAAACGTCTGTAAAAACTCATACGATAAGAAGACATTGCTGGTGATGTAATTTTTCTGTGAAGATTTAAGCGACAACAGAAGTTAAATCATTAGCTACGATACAACTTAATTCTAGTTTACAGAACAATTAACACAACTATTCTTGCAAATAAACTGTTATGTTCGGCAACAAGGACCACAAAAGGTACAAATATCAAACAAAATTTAAAAGAACAACGTAGAAAGTGTTGCGTGACCAAAACTGAGTATCTGCAATCATGACGCAGACACTTCATCATGGCACTTGATAAAGTAATTGTACATATTCTAATTCTCATATAAACTGTCAGACAAGCTCATTAATTTGAGTTTGAGTGTACAAAAGTTTTATGCAATTTGAAACTAACCAGGAAGATTCACAAACGGGAAGTTGAATGCGTAAATATTTCTAATCTAATGTAAAGCTATGAAACAAACACAAACTGCAATGACACAAATTCACCATCAGGAAGTTGAGGGGGGTAAACATTTCTTATACAGTCTAGAGCTGGCAAGACAGGTTCCCGAACACTAACTTTTACGTGTTCAGATAGCTAATATTGAAGCGTACATGAATAATTTCCACCGATATCAAAACCTTTTTTTTAAACAAACCCGGCCGAGTATTTAATACCGATTGAGGACACGTAACATCGAACTACTAATTTAAACTAATTATTTAACACGAGAACGTCACCTCACAACTTATTAGACATAAATATATGAATCGCATTTTATTTTTAAATACAACTTCCCAACATATGATGGCCAATGGTACTGAGTAAAGGAATCTCACAAAAGAACACATTTATATTTTATGCTAAATAACAATTTTTGTAATCATTAGAAAGGTAGAAATCTCGCAATTCGATAAATAATAACAATTTTTGTAATCATTAGAAAGGTATAGTCACAGGACTCATATCTAAGCTGACAGACAAACTAATTATTGGTCTTTCATATATACAATTTTTCTTCTGTTTGTTACGCTTGTTGGCGTAAAGCACTATGAAAGCGACAGGCGCTAGCATGACCAGGTAGTTAGGGCACTCGACTCGCAATCTGCAGGTCGCAAGTTCGAATCCCCGTCACACCAAACATGCTCACCCTTTCAGCCATGGGATGTTATAATGTGACGGTCAATCCCACTCTTCGTTGGTAAAAGAGTAGACCAAGAGTGGGTGGTGATGACTGGCTGCATTCCCTCTGGTATATTACTGCTAAATAATGAATTCAACCAAGTAACTCTAATTTTGAACTGATAAACTAGAGGGAATACAGTTAGTCAGCAGCATCCATTTGGGCTACTCCAATCGAACAATGGGATTTGACTGCCTTTTTTATAACACACTCACGGTCCTAAATTACGGAGAGAGATTTATTGGCAACGGGACATTAACCACGGATCTCTGGATTAATGGTACGGCTCGCTAATATTAGAACATACCAGCCCATTATTTTTCTTTTTTCTGAAGATCTGAGGCAGTAAGTATTTTTTGTATGTAACTTTCTGCTGTAGTGACTATTTCCACCTCTTAACAGCAACGATATGCTCATATATCAGCTCTTATTTAGTGAAATACTTGTTGGATGAATTGCTAATATGTTTTATTTTTTTATAATATGTACACTACATTGGCAAAAGTATTCGGATTCCCTAACACCCCTACATCCAGTTAATAATGCTCATGTGCTCACTGAATGTGCATACAAATTTAATGGTGTGCTGCAACTAAAAGTCATAAAAGTTAGAAGTTACTAGAAGCAACCAATTGGAATCAGGAAAAGAGTTTACAGGACTTTAAAGAAGAATGGAAACAGCATAGTATGAGTATTCAAGATATTTAAGCCCATCTTCTCATTTGCAAGTCCTTTGAAGTAACAGAAGACTACAAGAGTTGGTAATGATTAATGTCTGAAGAAGAGCCCGCAATTAAGCACTCCAAGTCCAAGTGAATTTTGAAATGTATTGTAGAACAAAATCAAAAATTTGAAATTACATTCATTATTGAGGATTTCAATGATTGGACTTCATGGACAAACTACAGTCACAAGCTACTCATCGCAGCCATGAATACAATGTGCAATGACCAATTCTGCTACCGTGAATACAAAAACTCATCTTATAATCATATGGAGTGATCCATCTCGCTCCTCTTTATTTTGAATTTGAGTTGTTCGATCTGGACTTGATGGTAATTTGAAAAGTAGTTTTGATATGATTGTATCGTCTTATTTCAACAGAAGTGGAAATAACAGTATATTTTCTATTCAAGTTATATGGCATTATTACTTTAAATTTGAGTTTTATTTGGGAAGCTTTTAAGCGAGAAGACAATCAAAATCAATTCCTATGACAAGTGTCGAGTTTGAGATGAATTAAGTTACTAAAACTACGTAAGGCAAGAGAAACCAGTTCTTTATCTGGCTTAACACTTCAATAGAAGCATTAACAGAATCAGGTGAAACTGGATTTTCAAATAGATCATAAAAAAGGTTAAAATGTATTCTCTTTATAAGATGTATTTATGTTTTGAATAACATCTTATTGTTTTTAATGAAATATTTACATGGTTTTTTAAGCTGTTAGTTTCTGTATGCAAGACAATATTAGATGTATTATTTTATTTAAAATATCTGATACTGTTTTACTTTATTATCTTATGTTTATACAGAAACATCAGTTCAGAAATTATGTTATCAAAAAGTCATTCGGAGATTTTTATGGAATTCCTAAATTTCAAAAGCAAGGTTCCATTTAATACTTATTGTTGTAAATATTCTGATAGATCATGTTAAGAATAAATACAGCTTGAAGCATAATTTTGAATTATCTAATAAAAATTAGAATTTAAAGTTTGTGAATAAAGTTATTGTGCAATTATGATGCTGTCTTTCGATACTAATATTCGTTTGAAAATGTGGTACAGTTAAATGCTTAACTCAGTTTCAACAATATTTTAATCGAGTTCTGTATTTTAAAATATGTTTTTAAGCTAATGAAATTTCTACCAAAGAAATAACTTTTTGGCTTATTGATAATCTTTATGATGGGACTGATTATGTGGCTGTGGATTCATTTTGCTCATTCTGTTTCTTTGGTTTCATGAAAAAAAAAATAGTTAGAAGGATGTCCGCAATCTTTTAAATCATTATATTATTGAAGATACGGAGATGAAATTTTTACCACCTTTAAGGGCCCTGATGATATTTACCAATTTTAGCTAAGCATAACAACATTCGATTCACTGTTGAATATCAGCATGACACCATAAATTTGCTTTTCTAGATACATTGGTCTATAATTGTGATGATAATTTTGAGTGTAAAGTTTACCATAAAAATACACTCAGCGGCTTGTACTTCAGCCTTGCAAGTTATATATAGATTTTACTGAAGGAAAACGTAATTAAAATCCTAATCCATCGTGTTTATAAAATCTCAAGGACTTATGAATTTCTGCAGAAAGAGTTTAATAACACCAAGAAATTATTAAGCAAGGATGGTTTTCCTCCTATTTGATACAAAAATAATTCGTTACTATCTGAACAAACTAACCTTCACAAAGTCATCAGTATATGAAGTTCCTGAACATTCACTGTTTATAGCTTTGCCTTATGTTATAAGCACTTTTTGTATAACAAAACACAGTGGTATACCCTCCTTCAGTGTAACCGCACGTACAACTGAAATAAATTTTTTAAACCACGAAGTCGTTTGCAGTATTTTTTTTTTTAGATATAAAGATATATTTCTTCCACTCTAGACAGAAGATATTTAAATTTGATGACGAGGAATCCACTTTTTAGAAATTAAATTTGGAAACGGCTTGGATGGGTAATGAAGAAAACTTTGTTATGAATGTACATTTCGACAATATTATGTCCTCATCACGTACAAGTAGTTTACATAGACACAGGAATATATATAAACAGTATGGAACAAGAGGTCACATTTATAATAAAGTTTTTCATTAACCATTAAAGCCGTCTCTAAACATTTATACACATAAATTATGCTATTATTTTAATTGTCCTTGTTGGAAACGAACTTATATTGGATAAACTACGACACGGCTTCAGACACGTGTAAAAGAATTGTTTGTTTGTTTTGAATTTCACGCAAAGCTACACGAGGGCTATCTGCGCTAGCCGTCCCTAATTTAGCAGTGAAAGACTAGAGGGAATGCAACAAGTCATCACCCAACTCTTAGGCTACTCTTTTCTAACAAGTAGTGGGATTGACCGTCACATTATACCCCACGGCTGAAAGGGCAAGCATATTTGGTGGGACGGGGATTCGAACCTACGACTCTCAGAGTCAAGAGCCCTAACCACCTGGCCATGCTGGGTCCGTGTAAAAGAACATGAAAATTTTAAGGACACAGAATAGATTGAGTGTATTCGATTACGCTCTAGGAGAGTGTGATGACGTAGTCATCCATTCAAATTATCTTAAGATCTTAACTAATGCCAATGACGAACAAAGCCTTCGTATAAGAGAAAGCTTAATCATACTTATTCAAGCTGAGGTCGCAACTAAGTCAGCTCAAGATATAAATTAGTTAAGATATCTATTACTTGTATGATATATATATACTTTTCATGGTATTTTATTAAGAATTACAGGGTGGGTGTACAATGAAA